AACGATTCATTAGAAACTAAAATAGATCTTCTCATAGAAATTAGTAAAAAAATCAATAATATTAGTTAAAAACTTTTTAAATACTATATTTAGATTCATTAAATGTAGGTTTCCTACATTTAATGAATCTAAATATAGTAACTGTATAAAATCAAATAAAAAAAATTCTATTGTACCAAATACACTTTGTTTTAGAAAAATTCGTAAAAAATTATTATGCCACATGAATATTTATGAATATGTTTCTGGAGATAAAATTTATTCTAATTTAAGTTTTATTGAGCATCTGAAATTACTATTGAGTAAAAATTTACGTATTAAAATAAAATAACATTAATAAATTAATTTGTTTATTTAAATAAAAAAAAAACAAAAAAAACAAATAAAGAAAAAATGTCGATAAAAAACCCCCTTGAAATCTATGAAAATAATGAAGTTGAAGTTATTATTGACGAAAAAGATTACAAATTTGTTGAATTAAAAGATGAAAATGAAGTGAAAAATTTTATTACAAAGTGCCATCCAAGAAAACCAAGCAGACCTGCTAGAGGACATAGACCAGGTTATTGGAGACCGAGAGGAGGTAGTCATGGTCCAGTTATTGTTCACCATGATATTCATCATTACCATACCCAGATAGTCAATCATACAGATTATACAAAAATTAATAAATTAAATTCTAAACTTACCGAATCTGAATTTAAACTTACTGAATGTGAAAAACACAAACAAGAAATTAAAGGAAAAATCATTGAATGTTTGAAACTACTTGGTATTAATTTCTCACTTGAAAATAATCTGATAGAATTAATTGATAAATTAATAAAAGCTTGTGAAGAAATGACGTTAGTTGGACCTGTTCTTGAAAGAATTTGGAAATGTTTAAAAGTTTTGGATCCTCAAGTTGCCGGTAATTTCGATCCTAATAATATCCTTACTGAAAATGGAAATTTGAATAGTTTAGTAAAATCTTGTTATAGAGTTTATAATCCCAAAACCCCTTATCCATATATAAATAATCTTAGTTTTATAAGTAAATTAAACAAATGTCTTGAATATTTAAAAGTTAC